AACACACACACACACCTCTGAGGCTTGGGATGGCTGATGTGAAACTGACGTTTCGGCAGTTTTGAGATCCCGAAGCACAAGTGTTTCGAAACACTGCACCAAAGCTTGATTTGAAACACCCAAGTCACGTGACTAAAGTAATTCAAAGCACCGATCAGTTAAGAAGCATTTCGAGACCTGCCGAATCTCCATGGAACTGCTGGGGTCAATTCCAATATCGGTCTCATACGGCCTGGTGAACTGTGCCTGTACTTGCTGTTACCATCCTTCCAATCACTTTTGGGTTCGATTCCAGACTTGTAGAAATACTCCTAAATCATGGTTTTATGCATTAATCATGTTTCTGTTTTATGGTGTAGCCTAAATAGATTACAGCTGCAGTTACGCCATCAATACAGCATCATTTTTGTAACACTAAAACAATATTTAATATTTTACAGTACTGATGGTTGGGTTTACGGTTTGGATATACGTTAATGAAATACAGTAAATGTGAAATTTAATGAATATAAATAATTCTTGATACCTTCTAGCCACAACCGTGTCTGATCTAGCAACAACCCTGTTTTAATACCAAAACAAGACATGTTTATTCACAAAGTGTTTATTCGGATGTCAGACCAATGCTGAAACAAAACGAAACAAGAAAGAGCATTACCAACTGGTATTAAAGCACTTCAGAATAGCCGTATCAGCCTGGATCCGAACCCACTATCCCCACATGGAAGTCAGAAACCTTAACTGCTCCACTAAATCTCTTGAATAGACACCTCTACAAGTGGGGTTTAATACCTCAATTTGCTAAAATGTTCTTGCTGAAGCTGTTTCAGTGCAACATATAAAAAATGACCACTAGGTGTCACTGTAGAAACATTTCGAAGCTTTGACACATTTGCTTCGACTGTTTCAGTGTTTCATGAAGCCTCGCTTTGCCACCACTATCTGAGGCATGATAGTTTATTAATGCTTCAATTAAACTCAAAGGGGGGCATTGCCCCTCAGAAAGAATGTGCCTCCCACTCAGTGTTCATCAAGGATTGTTCACTGAAAACTCTGTTATTAGTTACCAACACTCCCGTCATCCCAACCTTCAGAACACACATGTAGATATAGAATTATATGAAATAGCAATTCAATTATGAAAATAGTGAGATTAAGGCTAGTCCTATAGTCCAGAGATCTGGTCCCCGCGTCAGGTCAGGTGCGCCCGTGTATAGCCATTAAAACTGCACTAGTGGATGACATGAGGCGAGCAGCTTAATTCAATACATGTTTTGGTTAACTAATTCTTTAAACACAACTCTCTTGAGCTCTAAAGGGAGAAGAAAAAAAAAAAAAAAAAACGCAAAAAAAAAATTTGCCGTTAAATTAATGGAGTGAAAACGCAACTGGCAGTCATTTACACATTAGTCTTTCAGTTAGGGGATATGCAGACTAATAAAACAGTTCAGTCACTGCACAGTCCCACAGTAATCTACACTACAACTAATTTTCACATTTACTATATTCATTATTATCATTATAATATTCAAATTAAGCTAAAATAAACCACGCAGAACCCTTCTGAATGTTTGCTAAAGCGCACTTTTACAGTGGTGTAGAGAAACATCCCATAATGCAGCAGCAGTCTCCAGTTAGGACACTTAATGCCTTTTGCGTTGATAGATGATCAGCCTGCTAATCAAGTTGACAGTTATAAATGAATCGGGTATATAGTGCGCGAGGACGTGGATTTGCCGCAGATCCACCTCTCGCATGTGCTGCAGGTAGGCTGAATGATGATCTTTAAATATATGTAATTGAGGCTACACTGCTATTTGCTCATACTGTAGGCCTATCTTAACAGATATAATGTAGTTAACGGAGTTTGTTTTGACTTGTAGCTCATGGCCCTACGAAATGAAAATAACTTGAAAACAAGATATTAAAATAGGCTGAATGAATATAATGACGGGCAGGGCTAGTGCCCTAATGGTTTATGATAGTGTTTTTATAATTGCCAACCGGACAATATCACGGGGAAACACCCTGCTTATGATAGCCCAACATCAATCTTTATTTTTACCTTCACAATGATGAAAAAAAGCTATATAGCCTAACAAGTCGTGTTATCCATGCCAAATTGAACAAGTTTCCCCGCTAATAGCTGTGAATTTAGCTATCTTTTGAGGTATTTCTCTGGCTATACTAATGCCTTAATGTATTAAATGATTGTTTAAATGGCATCAGACTGTAACGTTTCGCTTTAGGCACTGATGTTGGTCGTGTAATGAAGCGTGATGACTGGGTTATGCTGGTTTCACTATATTTATTTACTATAGTTATACGGATAGTCTGATGTGGGTCAGCTGCATGTGTGGGCATAGTGTGACGTCTTCACTAAAACTTTAAACATTCATAGGCCTGTTACTTGAAATAAAATTGAAAGAAATAAGGAGAATAACAGGATTTAATTCACTGGTTTGGCGCTGAAGTCATGATCTGTCTGCATTAGTAAACGGTATCGCTGCATTACCTACATCGATAAAAATATCAGTATTATTACTATAAAGAAGTATATGACTGCCTCAAGTCAGAAACAAATCAAAGAAATGGTAAATGTGAATAAATGGCCTTAAAGGAACCAGAGGGACTGAAATCAGCAGGTCCAGTGCCCCCTATCTGATTAAAATGCCCCCTCAGCTGTGACACCCTGGCGCCGGCCTGACAAGAGGAATCATTCATTTGACTCAGAGTCGACTCTTTTGAGCGGATCAATAGTTAAACAGGGTGCGGAGTCAGACTGCACCCTCAGCCGGACGGGTTCATCACAGAGCTGCAGCACACACTCATATTAAACCCATATCAGGGGCTCGCTAAATACTACAGGCTAATCAGCTGATCTGAGCGGGTCACTCACGTCGACTGGTTCTGGTCGTATCTGAAGGTGCAGACGCCGAACTGGAACAGCAGGAAGTTCATGGAGTGCTGCAGGAAACCAGAGATCATCATCAGCTCCAAAACAACCCAACACACACTGCAGGACTGGGCTGTGTGTGTGTGTGTGTGTGTGTGTGTGTTCTTTACCTTCCTCAGTTTGGTGTATCTCTCCTCTGGAGTGTCCAGTCCATTGGTCAGAGCACTGACAGACGGCCCATCACTGATTCCTACAACACACACACACACACACACACACACACGTTACCTCAACACACTCACACAAAACATAAACACTAACAAAAGAACACAACTACACTATACACACAAACACACACACACCTGTGAACTCTCCGTCGATAGAGATGAAATCCGCCTCCTGCACCGCGTTACACACCTCTGGAAGAATCTCCTTAAAATCTGCACATCACACAAACACAATTACACGATTATCACACATACACACACACACTTGCACACGAACACCGCGGGCGCGCGCGCACAGTCGCGTTACAGATGCGGTGTTCGTTTGTGTGTGTGTGTGTGTGTGTGTGTGTGTGTGTGTGTGTTTTACAGTAAAGCATCTCAGTAATCTGCTGCTCTTACTCTGTCTCGTGACCTCCATCCTCCAAAGCTGCGATACACACAAACACACACACTGGAAGCTTTAACCCCGGCCGCCGGAAACGCTCGCACGCACTTCCGCTCCCTGTCCATTCCTGCAGGTGGCGCTCTGCGGCTCACGGTGGGAATATTACGGAGACTGTAATTATGAAATCATTTCATATTCACAATACAAATAATTAATTCACACTATGGAAATATAAACGGATCAAGTTATAAATTAAATGTCAACCAATTATTTAAAGAGGTAGCTTCAAAAAGGACTTTTATTTTAATAAAAAATATACAAATAAATTAATAAGTCTATAAATAAATCTAAATTAATATCTTAGATTAATAAATTTTTTTTGATCCTACAAATTCCCTTAAAGTAAAACCATGTTGATTTATGAAATAATATAAAATATTAGAGATTAATAATGGGAGTCTCTGCTTCTGTTTAATGGTCTTAAAAGTATTGGAAATCAGATATCTTTTCCTTTAGAAACACAACAGTAAGCGGTATTTGTGATAACATTTATTCACAGATATCTCTCAACTAGTTCATGATGATTTGAGGCTCGAGTTGTCGGGTCGGATTAGAAAGGTTAAAGCTGTCTGATGCTACAGGAAGCTGAGCTCGAGGCTGAACAGCTCATGGTTTGGGGGATTTGGGGTGTAGTAATGCAGTTTGAGTGACATGTTTAAGAAATAGTTTGACATAAAAAGATTATCTGTGTGAGCGGTTGGAAAAACCCTGTAAAAGTAAATGGATTCAGAATAAAAACACCTTGATAATGAAGATACACTGCGATAACAAACGCCAATGCTACACAATTCATAAACACTAACATTTACATTTAGTATTAGAACTACTAGTTTTTTACTTTGATTTAAAACATTTATTATGACAGCTCGTCACTCATAATGAATCAAGCAATCCATTATGTTGACAATAAATACAAAATAATGGAGAAATCATCTTTGGCGCGGGGTCTCGGTGGGCGTGGCCACGATGCGTCAGGCAGCGTCGCTGTTTTCTCAGAAATAAACCGTCAATCGCGCTCCTCATTCGACCTCAAACACCGAACACGCACAGTAAATGCGCTTTATACATAAAGACATCCTTAACGAAGACCCCCTGAACACTGTACGCATGTTAATCTACTCTTCTGAAGCATTATTGAAATGAACGGCGCGTTATGCGTGTGCAGTTTGTCGACGCTTCCTCAGCCTGTGAGGCGGAAGTGTGACGTGTGTTTAAGCGGTTGGTGCTCAGTTCCACCGCTCCTGTTCAGCTGTGTTCGGTTCACCGGGATGAGCTGCTGTCTGTAGCGGTCGGTGATGCTGCGGCGGGTTCGGGCTGAGCTCCGGCAGGCGGTGAATCAGATGGCGAGAAGACCCGTAAAGATACTGTGCTGCGGTGCCGTACTGCTGACCTGCGCGCTCCTGCTGCCCATAACACTCACCTGCGGGTAAATACACTGATGAATATCAATATTATATCATATACTGCTGATCATAACACACACCTGCGGGTAAATACACTGATGAATATCAATATTATATCATATACTGCTGATCATAACACTCACCTGCTGGTAAATACACTGATGAATATCAATATTATATCATATATTACTGCCCATAACACTCACCTGCTGGTAAATACACTGATGAATATCAATATTATATCATATACTGCTGATCATAACACTCACCTGCTGGTAAATACACTGATGAATATCAATATTATATCATATATTACTGCCCATAACACTCACCTGCGGGTAAATACACTGATGAATATCAATATTATATCATATATTACTGCCCATAACACTCACCTGCGGGTAAATACACTGATGAATATCAATATTATATCATATACTGCTGATCATAACACTCACCTGCTGGTAAATACACTGATGAATATCAATATTATATCATATATTACTGCCCATAACACTCACCTGCGGGTAAATACACTGATGAATATCAATATTATATCATATACTGCTGATCATAACACACACCTGCGGGTAAATACACTGATGAATATCAATATTATATCATATATTACTGCCCATAACACTCACCTGCGGGTAAATACACTGATGAATATCAATATTATATCATATACTGCTGATCATAACACATGATGTAGATGTGAGTCTCAGCATTGATTTCTATAATGTAGATTCTCCAAAACAATGTCTAAATTCTCTCGTGTCTGACATGCCTCGCCCCCTTCTTCTCATTGGCTGTTCGTTTGATGCACTTGTGCTTAACCACTCCCACTGGCCGAGCTATGAGAAAAACTACACGCTATTGGCTGTTTTGTAAGAGGGAGGGGCTTCTTTATGCCCTGCCCCCTCTTCATGTTTCAGTTGAGATTGTCAAACATCAAATGAAAATGCAGATTCCAGAGCTCTCCAGCGGAGCTGTACCTGTCAGTGTGATTATAGTGTACAGTGTGTGTTTGTGCTGTCAGTCGTGTGAAGAGTGTAGTGTCTCCGGCCCGTCCGCCGATGCGGTTCTTCCCCGCGGAGGCACCAGTGCTGGATCTGTTCCTGGGTCAGCTGGAGGAAGCGGATCGGCTGCGGGAGGAAGCGGATGTGTCGGTGCTCTTCTTCTACGCCCCCTGGTGTGCTCACTCCATCACAGCACGGCAACACGTCCAGCAGGTGGCGCTGCGTCTGGCCGACCAGGTGAGTGTGTGCTCTGTTTACATGATTTACACTGACGAGCGTTATGTATATAAAACCAGTTTTAAAATAAAACAATAATAAAATGAAAGGAAAAATAGAAAGAGTTGGACAGATCTATACTCAACTTTCAGATCTATACTCAATATTTAGATCTATACTCAACATCAGATGCATACTCATCATCCAGATCTATACTCAATATTTAGATCTATACTCATCATCCAGATCTATACTCAACATCAGATCCATACTCATCATCCAGATCTATACTCAATATTTAGATCTATACTCAACATTCAGATCTATACTCAACATTCAGATCTATACTCAACATTCAGATCTATACTCATCATCCAGATCTATACTTATCATCCAGATCCATACTCATCATCCAGATCTATACTCATCATCCAGATCTATACTCAATATTTAGATCTATACTCACTATCCAGATCTATACTCAACATTCAGATCTATACTCAACATCCAGATCTATACTCAACATCCAGATCTATACTCAACATTCAGATCTATACTCAACAATCAGATCTATACTCAACATCCAGATCTATACTCATCATCCAGATCTATACTCATCATCCAGATCTATACTCAATATCCAGATCTATACTCAACATTCAGATCTATACTCATCATCCAGATCTATACTCATCATCCAGATCTATACTCAATATCCAGATCTATACTCAACATTCAGATCTATACTCATCATCCAGATCTATACTCAACAATCAGATCTATACTCAACATTCAGATCTATACTCAACATTCAGATCTATACTCAACATTCAGATCTATACTCAACATTCAGATCTATACTCAACATTCAGATCTATACTCAACATTCACATCTATACTCAATATACAGATATATACTCATAATTCAGATCTATTGATCATCGTATATGATGATGACGATGATGATGATGCGTGTCCTGGCAGGTGCAGTTCCTGGCTGTGAACTGCTGGTGGCATCAGGGCCGCTGCAGGAAGCAGAAGAGCTTCTTCCAGTATCCCGTCATTCATCTGTACTACAGGAGGTACAACACACACACACACACACACACACACAGCACCTTGACTACAAATGCACAATAATATTTTTATTACTTATTAAAATTTTATTTTTTCAATGTTTCAATTTAACTCATTAATACTGTGTGGGTGTGTGTGTGTCTGTGTGTGTTTTGTTTGTTTGTGTGCGTACGTGTGAGCCTGTGTGTGTCTGTGTTTATGTGCGTATTTCGTTGTGTGCATGTGTGTTTTTTTGTTTGTTTATTTGTTTATTTGTGTGTGTGTGTGTGTGTATGTCACAGGTTCGGGCCGATCGAGTACAGGGGTCCGGTTCGCTCCGATTATCTGGAGAGCTTCATCCTCAGGGTTTGTGCTCCGCTTGTGTACCTGCCCACGGCTGGAGCCCTGCACTCCTTTCTCACACAGCACCAGGTACACACACACACACACACATCTATCATTTGATACACACACACTCTATGCTGATGTTCATTGTAGTGATTCACCGTAAAACTGTTTATTGTGTGTGTGTGTGTGTGTGTGTGTGTGTGTGTGTGTGTGTGTGCGTGTGTGTGTGTGCTCCAGCAGGGTGTGGTGGGTTATTTCAGGTTTAGCTGGTCTCCTCAGCCGGCAGGTTACCTCACCTTTCTGTTGTCTGCTCTGCACGCGCTGCGACGAGGTGCACACACACACTCACATCCACACACACACATCACTCATGCTCACCTGTGAGCTCTGACACGCTGCTTTCTGATTGGTGCAGATCACCAGGGGGCGGTGCGCTTCGCTGTGGTGACCAATCAGGCGGTGGCAGAGGGCGTGTCTCTCAGGGAAGATGAAAGTGTGTATTTGCACCGCCGTTTGAACAGCTCGCTGGTGAGTTCTCTCTCTCTCTCACACACACACACACACTCACACTGAGAGAGCAGGCGGGGTGTGACCCTGCTGTGGTGTTTCAGGTGTTCCCGCGAGCGCAGAGGAACTTCACCGCACAGGCCGTCTCTGATTGGGTGCTGGAGAACAAAGAGAGCGTCGTCTACTGGATTCAACCAACCAGAGCCAAGAGTTACTCTCTGGAGGCGGAGCTACAGAAGGGCCCTGCCCTCCTGACCTTCCTCCCACACAATCCCCTCACAGCCAATCAGCTGCTCGATCAGGTACATGCAGCCGGAGCCTGGAGAGTGTTTACTGCGGTATAACAACACCGGCAGACTGTGTGTGTGTGTTATTAATCTGTCTGTCTGTCTGTGTGTGTGTCTGTCTGTGTGTGTGTGTGTGTGTGTGTGTGTGTGTGTCTCTGTGTGTGTGTGTGTGTGTGTGTGTGTGTGTGTGTGTGTGTGTGTGTGTGTGTGTGTGTGTGTGTGTGTCAGGTGTCCGCTGTGGCTCTGCTCTATCAGTCTGGCTGTGGCTCGTCTGCTCCGCGTCTCTGCTGTCAGTGTGTGCCGGTGTGTGCGAGCTCTGGTGTGTGTGAGGTGTGTGTCCAGCGCTCAGTCTGCTCCGGGCTCCACCAGAGCCTCCAGCGTCTGCAGTCCAGCGCCTCCTGCTGGAGCGTCCAGAGCTCATACACACCGTCCGGCCGGCTGAGTGTGTGTTGCGGAGCGAGTGTGTGCCGCGGCGGGGCGAGTGTGTGCAGTGGGGCCTCCATCAGCGGGCTGCAGTGCCGCTCCAACCGCACGCTGCGCTTCTACATGCTGGACGCAGAGCTGCACCGGCCCCTGGCTCACAGACTGGGGGCCCGCGGGGGACTCCACCGGCCCTTCATCACCATCATCAACCTCAGAGACGAGACACACCACGTGCTGGAGCCCAGCGGCACTCTGGGTAACACACACACACACTTACACACATACATAGACACGCACACGCACACACACGCACACCAGCAGGCTGATGGACACACACTGATTCTGCGTCTGAACAGGTGTTGTGTGATGGACACTGTTAGCGTCTGATTAGCGGATGAACCTGTTGTTCCTCTGTTTGTGTGTGGAGCAGAAGGCTTCATCCAGAACTTCAGCGTTCCCTACAGCCCACTGCGCAGACATCTAGTGGGACAGGAAGCACCTCAGCAGACACAGAGCCTCGTACAGGAAGTGACCTCAGACAGCTTCCTGCAGACGGTCATGGACTCGCAAAGGGTGAGATCAGCTCGGCTTTAGACAGATCTGAATGTTGCCATTAGGGTCGGGCGATGGCGACCAATTTGGCATCGTGATGTCTAATGTGAAACATCGCGATGGACGATGGCATCATCATGAATTCAATTAATTAATCCTTAACGATTTAATTATTTGTAGCCTACCGTTTCCACTAGCTGACCCGCATGGCCATTGTTCTGTGTATGTGGATCATTTTCCTTCTTAAATGCCGTTTTAACGCGAGCCGTATCAGTGTAAACAGGGCCGATCACACCTAATGCGCTGTTCGTTAAGAGGCGCCTCTTTTGAATGGTTTACTCGCGTCGCGAGGGTTTTGCGCGCTGCTTATGCTTGATGCGCGCCTCGCGTTTGTGCTCTTGCGCACGCATTTGAAAAGAGTCAACTCTGAGCGGAAAAAGCGCGTTACGTCAGTCTCGTCTGTTTCATTCTCCAATCAAATGAAAGCAGAGGCGGGGTTTCCGTTGAGGTGCCTGCAGTGTTTATGTTGTCAAGACAACAAGGGAGACTATTGAGGATGGAGGAGAGACTTGTGTTATCCAGAGCTGCATGACTTCACAAATCTTGAATATCACGTTATTATTCGATATTACAGTTATATTAATATCAGCAGCAACACTCTCGCACAATATCCAGCTGATTCAGTCGTTGCCTAGCGACATAAAAAGCGCACCGCGCTCCTTTTTTTCTTGTCAACAAAATCGGAACGTTAATGCGGGTTCGGTGTGATCGGCCCCTGAGTGTGTATTTTTCGCGAGCAGGTTTGCGATTAGGGGTCAGGCGGAGGATCGGCGATGCCGGCTCAGCATCGTGTTGTCTATTAGCCATCGGCGATGGACGATGGCATCCTCTATTGGCCCAACCCTAGTTCCCATGTAAATGTCCCGCCCCTTTCAACCCTAATTATAGACACAGATACCACACTGTAAACACTGCAGGATAGCCACGCCCACAGCGGGGGAGTGGTCTCTCTAGAGGAGCTGCTGAACTGGAACTGAGCCAGAGTTTGCTATAAACCCAAGCAACTTAAACATAAACATAAAATGCATCTGAATGACGAGTTCTGTGGAATAATAATGGACTGACAGAGGGAGAAAGAGCTGAACTGTGTTTATACTTTATATAAAGGCTTTATTATTGACGGCAGCTTAAAGACGCCTCTCATATGGAGACTGAAGCCTCATGCAGTGCTCAGGGGTGAGTTTCTCACAGACTTCGACAGACTGTCAGAATCTTGACGCTTCTGTGGGTCTCGTCTATCAAATCTGAGCTGTATTGTTTTCTCTTTTGGATTCGGATCAGGTGATTGGCTGGGCCATTCTACAGCTTGACTTTCTTTCTCTGAAAGCATCTGAGAGTCTCCTCGGCTGTGTTTTGGATCATGTCTTGCTGAAATAGCTTGATCTTCATCCTCCTGCTGATGTAGATGTTGGACTGAAGCAGCTGATCTTCAATTACACTGAGGAAGGGCGGAGGGCCACTGAAGAACTACTGAGGGATTTCAGCTGCTGTCTGGGCCTTCACTGCACAAATACACCTCCCTTTCTTCATGTGTTCAATACTTTTTTTTTAGTTCTTCATTTCTTTTTATTACACATGACTTCATTTCTAAATAATTTAGACAGAATTTCAAGGCAACCGCACCTTCAGTAATGTGTTCTGTTCAATACTTACCTCCACTGTAGATAAGTGCTACTGATCGCATACTGATTTTCCAACTCTATGAATTCAACCCCTCAGCTTTTGTGATGGTGACTGTAGTGTAATGATGTGCACCTTTTCTGAAGCTGAGCTGGAGTGTGTAGGCGCTGCGCTAATGAAGCTGGACGGCGTTGACTGTTGCTGAAGGCTGTGTTGTGTCTCCGCAGGACGTGCTGCTGCTGTATTACTCAGCCTGGTGTGGATTCTGCTCTGTTCTCAATCACGTGTTTCTCCAGCTGGGTCGCCTCTTCCGGGGGAACAGGGCGCTCACGGTGGCCAGGTAATGTGTGATCATGTAGAGCTGCAGCGCTGCAGATCTCTCACGGGTCACAGTTTCTAATAAGTTAATTAAAGAAGCACCGTCAAGTGATTATTAAAGTAAGAATACCTTACAAATGAAATACAATATAGGGCGGCACGGTGGCGCAGTGGGCAGCACAATCGCCTCACAGCAAGAAGGTTGCTGGTCCTAGCAGGGTCAGTTGGTGTTTCTGTGTGGAGTTTGCATGTTCTCTCCGTGTTGGCGTGGGTTTCCTCCGGGTGCTCCGGAATTGGGTAGGCTTAATTGTCTATAGTGTATGAGTGAGAATGAGTGTTTATGGGTGTTTCCCAGTACTGGGTTGCATCTGAAAGGACATCCGCTGTGTTAAACATATGCTGGATAAGTTGTCGGTTCATTCCACTGTGGCAATCCCAAATTAATAAAGGGTCTAAGCCGAAAATAAAATGAATGAATGAATGAAATACAATATAGCAGAGGTAATACTACAATAAACAGTGTGTCAGGTTCATCTAGCAGTAGGTCAGTTACATAAAGTCACAAATATTATTATTAGTTTAGTCAGTAATTTCTGAATGGACTACATTAATCAGTAGAGGGCGCTGTACTCTCATTTTCAACAGCAGGTGGTGCTACAGTAAATGCTAGTGTTTAACAGTACTCTGCCCTCTACGTTATCAAATCTTGCACTTTGAGGTTAATGTAGTGTTATTAATGTGTGCATGGAATCAGAGACTGTGTGTAAAGCTTACAGCGCCACCTGTTGATTAACACTAAGCTCAGACTTGATTAAGGAGAGATTAATAAAGCATCAGGAATATCTGAGCATCCCTGCAGAGTCATGTGTTGGTCTATCATCACAGCTCTACTGGTGAATGCAGCTCTAATAATATTGCTGTTCTGGACATTTGCTGAGGTAAATCAGTTGTGTTTAGATCTCTGAAACCGCCGTCATCGCTGAGTCTGTGTTTGTGTTGTTTTCAGAGTCAATGTGGGCCGTAATGATCTGCCCTGGGAGTTCATGGTGGATCATCTGCCCACCGTGCTCTTCTTCCCCAGACACAGGTTCAGTTTCACATTTACACACACACACACACACACACACACACACACACACACACACACACACATTTATATCCGTCAGATCAACTGATCAGCACAAACTACAGCACGTCACATAATAAGCTGGAGGAAGCAGCTGTTGTTTACATTCTTATTGCATTATTGCATGCATCACTTCATCAGTGAGCAGAGGTTATGGAGAAACACTTCCATTAATGTTGCATCCAGCATTCTTTAATGCAATAACCCAACATTCACATTAATATAACTGTCTGGACTGTAGCTAGTGTGCGTGTGTGTGTGTGTGTGTGTGTCCGCAGGAAGCAGATGAGTGTGAAGTTTCCAGAAAACACACCCATGACTGTTCCAAACCTGCTGCGCTTCGTTCTGCAGCACACAGGCCACGCCCCATGGGAGGAGCAGCAGTCGGGAGAAGGGGAGGAGCCAGTTAGAGGGGAGGAGTCAGTTTCTCTGCTGGGGGCGGAGCTCCGGGCGCTGCAGCAGGAAGTGTTCTCTCTGCACCGGGTTCGAGAGCGTGTGTCCCAGCAGCTGGATGTGCTGTGGCGGGAGAACCGGCGGCTCACGCTGCACACGCACACACTGCAGAGCCAGAACCAAGAGCTGCAAGCGCAGATCCACCAGCTGGAGGCGCTGTACCGGGAGAAAACACACCAGCTCACACACACTGTTCACAGACTGCAGGAGCTGGCAGACGCCTCCGAGGAGCTCCTGAAGGAGAACACACTGCTGAAGGTGCTGCTGACCGCTCTGAGCGACGCGGACCACAGACAGACAACAGAAGACAGACAGACAACAGACCACAGACAGGCAACAGAAGAACATGATGAAAACACACATGCAGAGGACGAGTCTTCCTGACCACAGCTCATGTTGTTCTCCAGCACACGTCCAGGGCTTACTCCACCTCATGATCAATCATCAGTTTAAGCAGATGTTTTTTGTTTGTTTTATTAATCAGACGTTTAAAGGGATCGCTCAGCCAATAATCAGCATTTACTCACCGTTTACTCTTCCTCAAGGGTTGAAGAGTTTCTTCTATTGAACACTCAAGAAGATGTTTTGAAGACTGTAAAAGAATGATAATCTCCAAGACCGTGTTTGGAACAGGTAATGGGTTAATAAATGACGATAGTTTTGGGTGGGTTATCCCTGTAAATGATCTCATTCTCATCATTTGATTTTCGTTTAAGCGCTGCACTAAAGTAATGAAGTACATTTAGATGAGACCTGTATTTTATTTCAATACACTTCATCATGGAAAATGGGAATTATTGAGAAATACTTTGACATTAGTCCTGAGAGTGAGATTTGTTTCTGCATTATAATAATGTGTGTTTGAGTTATAATGGAAATAAGACAATGAAAGTTTGGGGTGGTGAAGCTGGACATGTCCTGTAGATTCATAACATGAGGACATCTGAACCTTCTGGAAGGATATTTGATGTTCTCATCAGCACATGGACTTTATAAAGATGAATGATTTCAGTGAAACACTGTTCAGTATTTTTCTGTATGTTTAAATAATCTATTTTTCATAATCATGGATTCAGTATTCAGGGATTTCTTGATGTCTATCAGATATTGAGGGTTAAATGATTAATGTGATCATCAATAACTGAACTTTTACACTCTGCTAGTCAAAATTGGTGTATTGTGCACTAGCGCCACTGAAATAATTTAATAAACAATAAATAAAGGCTTTTTAGAAACAAAAATGTCGTTGACATTGTGTGCATGTTATAGAATTACGTACAAAAAAAGTGTTTAAATAATTATTTTTTACCAAAAGGATTGTTAGTATGGAAACTAGAATTGCACCTAATTAGGAAGCTTAGCAAAATCAAGAGAATAACCCTTCACCAAATGACCGGCGATTGCTCACTAAACATTCCGCATTCAGCAAATTGTGGTTAATTTTAATATTTAATGTATGTAAACAAGATAATTTAGCCGTGGCGTAAAAAACCGTTAACTGTCAATCATCACGGAGCGCGCGCGCGCGGGAAGTCTGACAGGAGCTCTCATGAAAAAACTTTTGCGATAAACGGCTTCTAAAATGTTATTATATAGTAAAATAATAAAAATTAATCGGCGGTTACAGGTAAGACGAGCTGCGTTTCCCCTAATAGAAATGTAAATGGTGAATGTGTGGTTTTATGTTGGATGTTAAATGCGTTATTAGGAGTTTAACACCACTGCAGTGTGGACGTGCTTCCTCAAAGCGAACCTTCTTGTATTTTTCGTGACAACGTTTGGTGGGGAAATAATAAATAATTCTTTAGTAAAGGTCATGTACAGAACATAACTAGCCCTTAGCCGTGAAGTGACATGACAACAAGGAGAAATTCAAGCCAAGTCGTCTTTATTTGTCTTCATGTTGATTTGATGTATTGACAGTTCTACAGATCAGCTGTTTATCACGCTGTTCTTCAGGATCTACTGCTGCTTCACTAGACAGTCTTCCTCAGCTTTATGAAGTCTCACTGAGCTTATCAACAGCTTTATATGACAGGAACATGAGTTTGACTTTAAAGTGAATCAGGAGTTGCTGAGATGTTTGCTTCATTATGCTGACATATTTCCAAATGGAATGTTATTGAGTTGGGGGCGGAGTCGTAGTAAACTAGTGGTAAGGGGGCGTGGCTACGAATATTTTTTCTGTAGTCAAGCTGACGTCACAAAGCAAATCCAAGCAGATGCTCAGGTTGAAGATAACCAAAGCGAACATTTCAGTTTCAGTGGATTCACTTGTGCTCATCGTTAACCTGCAGAACAACATCAGCTGTTTCCATCCTCTCATGTTTATGCTCATTTTGGATATGTGCATTAAAAATGCTTGCTGGAAACGCCAAAATGCACATTCAAAAAAGATTATGCACACAACAGAGTAGCATCAACGTTTATCCAATAGAAAATGTGTATAAACGACAATGAGAACACGTTTACTGAATTCAGTCAGCTGAGGAGATGATGCTCTACTGTGCAGCACTCAGGGAGATGCTGATTTATCACTGATGATGAGCAGATATTTCAGTTTAATAATGTCTAATTCACATCTTTGGATGGAAACACAGCTAATATGCTCTAGCAAATATATATTGTGAATTTAGATTTCACACAGACTTTATAAATCATCTGGTCCTAAGTCTCATCTGCTTAAAATATACACTAATATAGTGCTTCATATACTATATGAAACTGTGTCTGTTAGTCAGGGGATACAGCTCACCTCCTCCAGCATCCTCAGGTGTGTGTGTGAGTGGGTGTGTGTGTTTGTGTGTGTGTGTTAGTCAGGGGATACGGCTCGTACCCTCCAGCATCCACAGATGTGTGTGTGTGTGTGTGTTAGTCGGGTGATACAGCTCTCTCCTCCAGCATCCACAGGTGAGTGTGTGTGTGTGTGTTAGTCAGGGGATACGGCTCGTCTCCTCATACAGCTGAAGCTCAGCACCTTCATGATCCTCACGCTGACGTGCATGACTCCGCCCAGGTTGTACAGCATGTGGTAGAAGGTGTGTAAGGACAGGTCGCCGGAGTCGTCTGCGTACTTCAGCGCCACGATGGGTGTGTACAGAGGGTTGGTCAGGCTGCGGAACGGCGGACGCGGAGACTCGATCACCTTCTTCGTGACCTTCAGAGATGGTGAGATTTCAGTCACATCATCAGCGCACTGTTATTCGCTATACAGATATAATACAGTTATATCCAGTGTTGGGGCAACGCATTACAGTAACACCAGTTACGTCTACACTTTACTAAGTAATGAGTAATGCATAACTTAAAAATAGTAGTAATAGTATTTGAGTTACTTTTTAAAAGTGAGTGTAGGAGATTAAGCCTCAGCCAGGTAAGGGAAAGTAACTCAAAGTAACATAATGGATTACTGACCATATAAAGTAATGCTACGGGGGTTAAAGTCCCTGGCGTATGGCTGAGATCAATACCTTTTATTACATTTGGCTTGCTAAAATGATAAACTCCCAGGAGGGGGTAGAAATAAGGGGCCGTGTTATTTACTTTCAGAAGAAGGTTGATATTGGGAGGGCACGTAATTAGAGCTGTAAAGCTTAACTTTCCGATTTTAGGTGCAAAATCTAATCTGTTGGTGACAGTAAATAGATTAATAGTTACCAAACAAGTCCACAGAGAGGGAGGGGGTGATTGCCGGAATCGGGAAGTCCCAGAGTAAAATGAGAAAATATGATAGACTGGTGATTTAGAATTTGGAAAAGTCTTTACACTGTTTTTATCTGTAACTTTCCCCAACTCTGGTTACTAGAACTTTCCAAATGAATAATCTCGTGTTGCTCCAGCTGTGTGTGTCTGCTGTTGTGTTTGTGGATATAATGGAGAGTTGTTTGTGCTTTCTGACCTTGGCGATGTCCTCTGGCGTTTGTCCCAGGCCCTGGAAAATGTTGACTGAGGTGGGCAGATAGCAGGTCCTGAAGTGGTGCATCGTCTCTGGGTCAGTGTTGGGATACTCCTTCTTGGAGACGTCATCATACATCTTCATCTCAAACTCAGTGTGTACAGGCCCGGGCTCGATCATCGACATGCTGACACACAGAGAGAGAGATACACACTAGACTCTCTTAGACAGAGCTCAGGCTGAAGGAGCTTTGAATGGTCAAGAACTGCCCACTGCACATGCAGCTCAACTCCTTGTTCAAGCTCTTGTTCTCTCCAGACTGGACTATTGCAACTCTCTACTAGCCGGGCCTCCAGCTAACTCTATCAAACCTCTTCAGAACGCAGCAGCACGAGTGGTCTTTAATGAAGCTAAAAGAGCACATGTCACTCTGCTGCTCATCCGTTTGCACTGGCTGCCAGTTGCTGCTCGCATCAAATTCAAAGCTCTGATGTTTGCCTACAAAGCGACTTCTGGCTTTGCTCCTTCTTATCTGCTCTCACTTCTGCAGATGTATGTGCCCTCCAGAAACTTGCGTTCTGTGAATGAACGTCGCCTCGTGGTCCCATCCCAAAGAGGGAAGATATCACTTTCGCGAACTCTCGCGTTCAATCTGCCCAGTTGGTGGAATGAACTCCCTAACTGCATCAGAACAGCAGAGTCACTCGCTGTCTTCAAGAAACCACTGAAAACTCAAAAACCAAATATTTTATTTTGAGAAACATTTAAAGTATTTTGGAGCAGTAAATGTGTCAGGCTAAATAGTTAAATGATTGTCTTCTGCTGTCTTCATTAGTTTCTAAAACCCTGATTTCATTACAATTTAAAACAGCATCTTTAGAGATCTTTTCTGCTGGAGATACTGCTATACTAAAAAAACAAAAACAAAAAAAGCAGATAAATAAAACGGTACTCACACCTTAGGAACGGAATTACAGAAATTTTTGGCAGTTTTAAAACCTTGACTTCACCAAACCACGGTATACCTTGAAACAGTTATCATCCCATGCCGTGTTTATGTTGTGTAAATGTCTACAGAATCACAGTCTGAGACGCCGCTTCACATCATTCATTCTCTAATCTCTCAGAAAGTTATGTTTATTCATGAACACTGTTATCAATATCAGCATCACAGCTTGTTTATACACTCAGATGTGTTTCCAGACGGGCTGATGAAGATCGCTGCACACTCGACTTACAGAAATCCTGTATCTTTAAACCAATCAGTGGACGACTGAGGATCTGTGTTATCCAGAAAAGTGTGACAGAGGGCGTGTCTGAAGTTTGGGCTGACGCGATCGTCCTAGCAGGGTCAGCCAATTAAATTAGTCAGCAATCGACAACTGTCTGAGCTGTTGTTTTAGCATACAGCGATCTGATTGGCTGACGCTTCCGTCAGCGCTTGAAAAGTTGGGAATGTCCCAACTTCTGCAGTGAGCAACGCCTCTGAAGCAGCGCTGACGGATCCACAATGCAGTTCGGCAACACCTGACGTCACCTATTCACGTGAATGGTTGATGCTGACGCCTCGTGTGAATAGGGCGTTAGCCACAGGTCTGTGCAGTGCTCGGCGTGATGTCTGAGGCTGAAGGTTATAGCACACTGAATCTGAAATATTTGTCTGTAATGTTTGCATGTTAAAAATAAAATTAACCTCACATTATGTCAACAGTGGCGTAGCGCAAAATGCGGAGGCCCCCCTGCAGGGATCACTGAGGGGGAGCAGGAAGTGATCACAAATTGAGGAGTGGGGAAAGGGGCGGGGTAGAGCGACAACGCGAGGAAGCCTTCACAAACTGAGGAGCGATCACAAACCGAAAGCGGTGAGAGCGTCAAAGTAGCCAGAAGTCATTCATTTTTAACGAGAACCGGCGGCGAGGAACAGCGCGGCGCATCTTCTCCCGTGTGGGCGTCGAGGAGAGTTGAAATCAAGTCAACTTTATGGTATGACGCGGTTCGGCGGCAAGCAATCAGAATGAAGTAGTCCAGCGCTTGAGAGGAGTTCAGAGAACACGTACAGACCTGTGAACTTTGGTTCCGACCACAGTTGTTCCCTAGAGTTTGATTATTGAGGTCGCCGGATTTTCAATTATTGAAAATGGCGACAACGTGGGTCCCCTAATCACGCGGGCCCCCTGCAGTGCGTGCCCTGCGGGCCTGTCCACTATGCCACTGTATGTCAATCATACTGCCAGACTGCCTCTGAACCTCATAAACAAATCAGAATCGGGTTACATTTGTCTTCTTTTTTTCCAGGTTTTTGTTCCCTAAAAAGACGTTTTGAGAGGTGTTTTCAGGGCTGCTGTACATGTGAAAGGCAAAATCCAAAATGGTGCTGGAGAACTAGTCTACCTGCTCTCGCAATACAAAGTCTTTCATGAAAAGCAAAGTATGGGATATAAAGACACGACATACAAGTGTGTCTGGGTACCTTAGACAAACTGCCAGCCTCTGCGCAGGATCAATCGGTTGACAGAATTTGGTGATCTTCTTTCTCAATATGTGGTCCTGGCATCGCTAGCGAAGTACACAAGCTGAGCCGTGGCCATCCTGAAATAACAGCTGCATGTGTCTGGATGATCCCGCAGCTCTTTGATAATGATGGGAGGATGGGATGGACCCCAGATTTCCTCTTTTATTAAGCTGGAGGACAACATCATCTTCCCTACCACAGATTTTGTGTTGTTTTGTGCATTATTTTGGACCCGGTGTGCAGGGTTTGTGTGCGTGACTAATGTTTCAGATTTGAATATAGAAAAACACATGAAAGTTTGGGCCGTCAGTGTGCAGAGACCAGACACACACTGCTGCTTAGATAAGTGTCATCCATCTGTCCACAATCGGATGACTGTAAGTACAGGAGTAAACATGCCAGCTCATCCGCTCTGGGTCTCCTCCAGAGGAAGTGGAGAACACACTGCATCCCTCCTGCTGTCTGTCATTCTGTGTTCAGCCTGAGGGCCTTCACTAAACCTCTAAAACAAAGCAGATCGATCTATATCCAGCCCTCAAATCTGTTCAGCATGAAGACACACCCTCGTCTTCATCACACACACTCTGTCAATGTGCAGGTCACTGTGATGCAGGTGTGTGTGAACCCATGCTGAGATCTGACTCACGTGACGTTGAACTTGAGAAGCTGCACGGCCAGACTCTCACAGAAGCCCTCGATGGCGAACTTCGACGCGGCGTAAACGTCATTAAAGGCCACACCTGAGAAGAAGAGCAGCACAGGGCTGAGTGTTTATGAGCTCTGAACACTGAGCGTGTGTGTGTGCGTGTGTGTGTGCTCACCCTGCAGGCCCATCACGCTGCTGATGACGATGATATGTCCTGAGCGCCGCTTCTTCATGTCCGGCATCACCTCTTTAATCATGCGCACCGCACCGAAGAAGTTAGTCTCGAACACCTTCATCATATCATCCAGACTGAGACCCTCCACCGGGCCCACCAGACCCACGCCAGCGTTATTGACTACACACACACAGATCAGGATCAGCGGCTGGTTAGTAACAGCACACACACACACACACAGCACAACTGTAGATTATCTGAACAGATAGCTTCACAAACTGATGGACTGTTTGGAGGAAGTGTGTGTGGCGACCCCTGCTGGTGCAGTTGAGCGTCTGCCTTCTGTGGCTCAGATTAACTGTCAACCTGAACACTAAATCTCTAATTCTGTGATCCTAACCTAAGCATGGATGAGCACAATCCACTGGAGGCTGTGCGTGTGTGTGTGTGTGTGCGTGCGTGCGTGTGTGTGTGTGTATGTGTGTGTGTGTGTGTGTGTGTGTTTCACTCACTCAGAATGTCTATATGTCGGTCTTTGACGCTGTCAACACACTGTCTGACGGACTCGTTGCTGCAGACGTCCAGTGTGCACACCGTCAGTGTTTTCCCGTAAGTGTCTCCCGCAGCACACACCAGCTTATCCTGACGCTTCAGGTCACGCATCGTAGCAATGACTGAACACACACACACACACTGCTGGATTAGAGACTGATACACACACACACACACCACTGACTGATCCACATACAGTGCATCTGGAAAGTCTTGATAGCGCTCGACTTTTTCCACATCTCTTTATGTTGCAGTCTTATTCCAAGATGAATTAAATTGCTTGATTTCCTCAACATTCTACACACAATCCCCCATAATGACAATGTGGAGACAATGACAATGTTTTAGAAATTGTTGCAAATTAATTAAAAATAAAAAGCTGTAAAATCACATGTACATCAGTATTCACAAGACTTTCTGTATATGATGCCACAGGCTCTGCACACCTGTCTTCGGGAATGTTTGCCCGTTCCTCTTTGCAGCACCTCTCAAGCTCTCTCAGGTTGGATGGGAAGTGACGGTGTGCAGCCATTTTCAGATCTCTCCAGAGACGCTCAATAGGATTTAGGTCTGGGCTCTGGCTGGGCCACTCAAGGACATTCACCGAGTTGTTGTTGTGCCGCTCCATTGATATTTTGGCGGTGTGCTTTGGGTCATTGTCCTGCTGGAAGATGAAGCGTCGCCCACAGCATGATGCCAACACCACAATGCTTCACTGTAGGGATGCTGTTAGCCTGCTGATGAGCGCCGCCTGCTGTTCTCCACACGTAACGCCTGGCGTTCACTCCAAACAGTTCAGTTTGAGTCTCATCAGAGCAGAGAGTTTAGTTTCTGATGCTCTGAGAGTCCTGCAGATGGTAAACTCCAGGCGGGGAGTGTCTTCCGTCTGGCCGCTCTACCATACAGACGCCTGATTGGTGGATTGCTGCACAGATGGTTGTCCTTCTGTAAGGTTCTCCTCTCTCCACAGAAGAATGCTGGAGATCAGACAGAGTGACCATCGGGTTATTGATCACCTCCCTGACTAAGGCTCTTCTCCCCTGATCACTCAGCTTAGATGGCCGGCCAGCTCTAGGAAGAGTCCTGCTGGTTAAACATCTTCCACTGACTGATGATGGAGGCCGCTGTGCTCACTTTCAGAGCAGCAGAAATGTTTCTGTGACCTTCCCCAGCCTTCTGCCTCCAGACAATCCTGTCTCTGAGGTCTACAGACAGTTCCTTTGTCTTCATGCTTGGTTTGTGCTTTGTCATGCACTGTCAACCCTGGGCCCTTATATAGACAGCTGTAGCCTTTTCAGATCATGTCCATCAGCTGAATTGAGCACAGGCGAACTCCAATGAAGCTGCTGGAACATCTCCAGAAGGACCAGTGGAGACAGAATAGCTGAGCTCAGTTTATAGCTTCACACCAAACACTGTGAACACTGATGTACAGGTGATTTATCAGCTTTTATTCTTAATAAATCTGCAACAAATTCAGAAACTCTTTCTCCACATGGTCATTATGGGAGATTGTGTGTAGAATGTTGAGGAAATCAATCAGTTTACTCCATTTAGGAATAAGGCTGTAACATGAACACATGTGGAGAAAGTGAAGTGCTTTCAATACTCTCCAGGTGCACTGTACACACCTCTTATTGACACACACACCACTCACTGATACACACACACACACACACACACACACACAGTGACACACATGTACTGTATAGGTTCAGTAAGTTCAGCAGATGACGACTGACAGATTAAGACTCTGACAGTGATGATCCATAAACCCATAATCACTCTCGTGACATGATGTAATGAGTGTCTGTGTGAGTGTGTGTGTGTGTGTGAGTGTGTGTGTGTGTAATGTGCTGACGTGTGTTACACTCACTCAATGCTATAATCAGGGATAGAGGGCAGCTCAGAAGACACACGGGTCAAACCAACAATGCTCTCAAGCATCAAAACAACAGCAGTGGACACACACACACACACACACACACACACACTGACACTAGTTTATATGTGCACTCTGCTGATATTCAGATCAGAGATGACTTTAGATTATAAGGGGGTCTTTATTGCTGCCCGCTGCTCTACACGTTTGACATCATCATCTTCATCTGTGTTTTCACAAATCTTCCTGTCAGCCTGATGATGAGCATTATTATCACTCATATTCAGCCTTTACAGCTGAGCCTCCTGAGATTTCATCTGTTCTCTGTGTCAAATCACAGTTAATATCATGTAAACACACACATGCACACCCACTCTATCTCTAACACATGTACACTTACATAAACACTCTCTTACACATGTAAACACACATACACACTCACTCTTTTATACACGTAAACACACATACACCCCTTTCACAGACTCTCTCACACGTGTACAACCATGCATCCACACACACATTCTTACAAACACACACACACACACACACACACACACACACACACACTCATATGTCAGTGAAGGTCTGTCATTAGTCAGATCTGACCTGATCTATCAGCAGTCAAATGAACAATAATAACACATATAAGAGCACTGATATAGTTTTCTGTGCAATCAAACTGTTCTGAAAGGCCTTCAGTCATCAGTGGTTATTATATCAGCATCGTTTATTACGGTGCTTTACAGGCGCTAGGACACATTTCTCAATACTCGGGTCACTTTTGCAGAACTCTTCACACAATTCTATATATAAAGTCATTCTTCCAGAACACTAGCAAAGGCTGACAGCCCACACACACACACACACACACACACACACACACACACACACACACACACACACACTGTCACCCACAAAACAATGAGCTAAACACACAAGTGTTTTCCTGTGTAAAACAAGCACACATCTCTGTTTCTAACTGCAGCATGTGTTACTGGAATCAATCAGGCATGATGCAGAACTCCTCAATCTTTTATGTCCTGAATTTATTTATTAAATTCCACAATACAGGAGTTTGTCTACACACATCCACTGATGCAGACACAACAGTAATGCTGATCTGGCTGCTTAAACTGCGCTTTTAGGTGTTAATGTGTTTCAGTAAATACTGCTGTAGAATTGTGCTGTCTTCTTCAGTTCTGCATGATGACCTGGTGTTGAACAGTTCTGAGAACAGTAGTATGTGAGCATGTGCTGTATGTAAGGTTACACAGAGTTTGGGCAGTTGTTGTGTCTGAGTGAGAAAAGACTTGATGAGATTTGTCAGATGTAGTCATGAATGTATTTTAATGCCGAAACACAGTGATCATCGATCCTCAGTTTAGCCCACAGAGAGCTCTGCTGTGCTCACAGTGTCCAGAGTTCTGCTGAAGTGTTCTGAGTATCGAGACATGTGTCCTGCGTGTTCTGGAAAACACTGCATCCTTCATTTACTTCATCATCATTAGCATTATTCCAGTAAAGCAGTATGTTTACAGGCTCATCATAGCTGCAGTTCAGGCTCCGCGGTGTTCACAAACAGAAGTCCGTTAATAACCGTTAATTAATAACTCACCGTAATAGCGCTGCTGCTTGTCTCTGGCGAGCATCACGGCGATCCCGAGCCCGATGCCGGAGGAGCAGCCGGTGATCAGCACTACTTTTTGCCCCGCGCTCGCCATCGCCGAACCGGAGAACTGACCGGAGAACCGGAGCCTCAATCAGCAGGCGGGAGCGCGCAGGAGGACACGGCACGCGAACGCGCACGGATTATCCTGACTGAAGAGCCCGCGAGCTTTACATCAAGACGGTCGGTGATGACGCGTTTCACGCTCGTCAGCTTCTTAAATCCTCCACCGTTTTTATATTAGGTTTGTTTAAACCTACACAGACGTGTTTAACCCTATATAGACATGTATAAACATATACAGACATGTTTACATCTTAAAAACTCATTAAAAAATAACCGTCTATGAGGTGTCTGTAATGTGGCTTTTTGGCGGGACGGTCCATTTAACTTTCTGTAAAATTATAAATTTAACCTTATTACTACTGCCGATTTACACTCTCACTATTTTTTCCTTTGAACAAATAATAATTAAAAATCGTTTAATTTCATCTTTAATGGAGAAAACAAAGAATATTCAATTCTAACAAGACATTCATTCATTTATTAATTTTAATTTTGGCTTAGTTTACCTGGGGTCACCACAGCGGAATGAACTGCCAACTTATCCAGCATATCTTTCACGCAGCGGATGCCCTTCCAGCTGCAACTCATCACTGGGTAACACCCATACACTCAATCACACACATACACTGTGGACAACTTACCTTGCCCAATTCCCCTATAGTGCATGTGTTTGGACTGTGGGGGAAAGTGAAGCATTTGGAGGAAACCCACGCCAACACGGGGAGAACATGCAAACTCCACAAACACCAACTGGCTGTAAAACTTAACCTGGAATAGTTGACGGTTCATTCTGATGTGATGAGCCCTGATTAATAAAGGGGAGTAAGCGGAAAAGCAAATGAATGACTGAATCTATTGCATCACCTACATAAATCACACATAATTACTGATTTTGAAAAGCCGCCCTAGATTGACAGATGATGGCCAAATGATTACTTTTTTGTCATAAACTATAGAAAAAAACAACTTGTCAAAAAAAGATTAAACCCTGCAAACAGATTAAATACAGTAATGGAGAACTCATGTTGTCAGAACAGTGATTTTTTGTATGTGCAATATAAATACAGTCATCAGAAACGAGTCACTGTACAGTGATGGACAAAAATCAGACACAGGGTGCGAATTACAGGAAAGATTGGGGGGGGGGGGGATCCCCTAATTAACCTTATCCCACTGAAGGACGTCAAAACAAGAAAACAAGATGGAGGGATCAGTGCTGTAAACTGTTAAGACATAGTTTGCTTTGATCTGTTTCTTACATAATGTTAATTATTAAATTAGATAATAGATAATATAATATAATATCTGACCACCCCTATAACGGTTCATACCATAATGAATGAATAGTCGCGCCAATCAGTTTATGCGGGAAAATATTCAGTCACTCAGCGGCCTGATCTGCAGACAGAGTAAGTGTTCACAAAATGTCGTGTAAAATCGGCGTTTCTATAGCTTATATGGCTTTAAAGTATCCTAAAACTAGCTGCATAGATTATATTATTAAACATGTGCTTGATCATGGAAGTTAAACAGTAAATTATAAATAAGTTCAAGCTCATCTGTCTGTTGGTGCAGGAATGCAAGTGTCACCGCTGGTTTTATATCAATAATGTCCACACAAATAGCCGACCAGATAGGACAGAATACACTCAATATCCCTCACACCACTGAAAACCTCAACAGCTATGATTTACAATTCAATTAAATATGTAAATGTGATTCACTGAGGCATATTATACAAACTAACATTGCCGTAAAGATGATGGACCCCTCTGATGATCGGCGTATAATTCCACCCTGAGTGTAATGTAGAGTGAGAGTGAATGGAGCGCCACCCAGCGGCCGAACACAGCAGTGCACGCAACGCCACACTTCACTTCAACACACTTGATGATCCTTTCAAACCATCACACATCAGGATGTAACCATTCCAGTCTAATGTTTAGTGACAAACTTTAAGCAAAATCTGGAATGTTTCTAGTCCAAATATTAAAAAAATTCTCAAGTCAAAAAGTAACAAGCAAAATTATTGTGTTGTTTTCGGCAAAAAAAAAGAGTCAAAATGAAGTATGTTTTTCCTGAAAATGAGCAAAATAATCTGCCAGTGGTGTAAGCAGAGTTATAATCTTATGTCAAAAGGAAAGACATGATTATTTTGGTGGTGGTGCAATAGGTAGTGCTGTTGCCTCACATCAAGAAGTTCGCTGGGTCAGTTGGCATTTCTTTGTGGAGTTTGCATGTTATCCCTGCGTTTGTGTGGGTTTCCTCCGGGTTCTCCAGTTTTCCCCCACAGTCCAAACACATGCGGTACTGGTGAACTGGGTAGGCTAAATTGTTCGTAGTGTATGAGTGTAAATGAGTGTGTGTGGATGTTTCCCAGAGATGGGTTGCAGCTAGAAGGGCATACGCTGCGTAAAAACGTGCTGGAATAGTTGGTGGTTCATTCCGCTGTGGCGACTCTGGATTAATAAAGGGACTAAGCTGAAACGAAAATGAATGAATGAATGAATGAATATTTTGTCCACTCCATAGCTATATACCCTGCATATACTTCCTGTCCACCTCACAGTGAATGCAGCCAACCAATCACAACAGACTGGGTCTTCAGACCAATCACAACAGACCGGGTCATCAGACCAATCACAACAGACTGGGTCATCAGACCAATCACAACAGACTGGGTCTTCAGACCAATCACAACAGACCGGGTCATCAGACCAATCACAACAGACCGGGTCATCAGACCAATCACAACAGATTAGCATCAGGGGTTTGGGTAAAGTGACTGGCTGAACAGATCCTATGGCAGTCGTTAGGATAATGAGGTCTGCAAGATAACTGCATATTAACAAAGTGTTTTTTGTTCTTGTGTGCGTGTCAGCCTGTTGTTGGAGACCCCAAAACCAAACCATGACCTTTATACTGCATGATAGAGCCTCTTTAAAACCCACAATAAAAGCCTGCCTTGTACATGAATAACCCGTTAATGAAAGTAAAGCAGATAGGACATCAAGACCTGAAGAACATCCTTACACTCGCTAAAGCAGCGAAACACTGAGAGAGTAAACGAGAGCGAGAGCGGTGCTGCTGGGACATGCTGATCTCACTCAGGCTTCAATAAAAGTTTACATGCGTTCACATCATCACATCACTCATTCACCGCTGTAACAGCTTGTCTTTCTCTGCACGCTAAATCTGCTGCTGGAGCAGGTGAGCAGAGCACAGGTCAAGATCAGGGTCAGCTGCAGGGGTTGACCTTCGACCCCGCCCTTACAGAATCACACTATTTTGGCATTTCTTGGAGAAAGCAGCCAAAGAGAGGCTCATCACTGTGATGGAGTGTGTGTGTGTGTGTGTGTGCGCGCACACCCTAAGGCTCAGTTCAAGCAGGAATTTGGAATCTGCCAGAGCACATTTTATTTTATTAGTTGGGCAGCTCGACATCTTGTTCAAGCATGTTGATGTGTGTGTGTGAGGCGGCTGGTGATCTGGTGTGCGGTTAGACGAGTTACAGTTGGTATGTTTCATTATAAACACGTCATTTATTAATGATAATAATTCATTCATTTTCTTTTCGGCTTAGTCCCTTATGATAATAAGTATTTTTTATAAAGCAATTTACATTTGAACTGAAATCTCAAAGTTCTACAGAGGAAAAACTCAATGAAATAAAACAGAAAGACGAGCTAAAATCAGAGACCAACTGAGAATTGCTGAAAGACTTTTAAACATTAAGAAACAAATGAACTATTGTATGAGCTCTACGTCTCTGAATACACTGAGAGACTATTGACATCAAAAATCAAAAATCTTTCTGAAATCAAGACACAGCTGAAATAAGAATAAACTACACAGAATGTGACGACTTCATGACAGTTAAGTACATCTCTACGCTAAAATAAATATTCCACGTAAAATAAGATAATAATGTGAAGACGTTTCATATTTAATTTATGAACACATTACATTTGTGTTCATTTATTACACGTGTATTTTATTCACTGTTCATGCAGTGTCTATTGCTTTAGCAATACTGAAACTCAAGCCAGTAAAGCTCATTTGAATGTGAATTATAAAGAGAAAGTCTAATAGTTTCTCTAAATTGTGATAAAAGAAGTGAATCAAACAAAACCACTGCATTTCCCAACGTAACCCACTGCATTTCTGCACTGCAAAAGTAGGAATTTCAAGCTCATTCTGAAAATGTACATCTATATATATCTCTGAAGAGCGCCAAATACGTCCCAGGAGCTACATTTTTTGCAGTTTTTGTCTTTGTGAATCCACCAGAGCCTGCTGTGTGCGCTTTTCGAGATCTCAAACTTCTCTCGCGAATGTGCTGTTCTCACATAAATCCACCAGAGGCCGCTGCCGACTGACTGAGTGACTAACCGATCGACTGACCCAACCTCCTCCTTCCCTAAACCCAGTCTATTGTATTGATTCACCCGCAAATCCACTTTCCTAAACCTAACCAACAATTTTAAAAAGCAATCCAGAAAGAGAAAAGTCCTCGCCTGATTTTTACCACGTTTTCAGATTTTACCACATTTTGTTTTTACCACATTTTCTGTTTTTGTCTTACCTGTTTTCTGGAACCGTTCTTCACCAGACTAGAACCCTGTCACCGTAGTCAAGTGCTCTCTGCGTCTTAAGTCCACTGATGTACATGGCGAGCCAACGGGACAATCTGGTAACAGCGGTAAAGCTGTCTATACGAAGGTAAGCGTTCAGCTGGTAAGTGGGAAAAGCAGCTGCGTCATACCGCCCCTAGCGTTTGCTTTAAAGATGTAATGCAGCCATACGCACCTCTGGCTACATAATTCTGGATCTCCAGAAATGTATACGGGGCTACATTTTCTGAACTATGTTGAATTTTTGCCAGATAGTAAAAGCAGTGATGCTTGATGCACTTTTATATGCTAAATGTGTGACTGACATCTGTTTGAAAGTCACTAAGAGGACAGATTTGTATGCAGATTTCCTGATTGATGCACATTTAGTGATGGTAAACGTTAAAGCAAATGTCATCAATAATTTAGCAGTGTTACACAACACAACAACTACAGTCATATAAACAGATGATGTCATGCTGTAGTTTTCTCTATTAAACTGCAGTACAGCACAGCTTACTGTAGTAAAACTAAAGGAATTACCAGAGTTCATCAGTTCACTGTAGTTAATGCTGCAGCATAATGGAGTGTTTTACTATAGTATGATTCTGTTTACTGTGCAATACTACAGTATTATTTCATGAGGAGAGAGAGTGATGTGTATGAGGAATCAGCAGCTCAGCTCTTCCTCAGCATTGCTGTAGAGAGACAGAGAGAGAAGAGACTTAGTTTTTACTTTTTAAGTGAAGTTTATTTATAAAGTAATGTCGAGAGGATCATGTGCTTATGATTGATCACAGCTGGTGCTGCATTATCCAATTCTTGATTGACCAATCAGACTCCTTCTCTTCTAGATGGGTGGGCCAGTGGTTAGCACTGTTGCCTCACAGCAAGAACATCACTGGTTTTAGTCCTTACCAAGCCAGCTGACGTTCTCTGTGGAGTTTTCACCTTCTCCCCGTGCTCACATGGGTTTCTCCCAGGTTCCCCGGTTTACTCCCACCGTCCAAAAACATGCAGCTTAAGTTAATTGACTAATCCAAATCAGCACATAGACATGCTGCTAGTCAGTAGTTATCTCTTTAGAGCGATCACTATCTGTTCATTAACTACTACAGCAGGAAGTTCTCCAGATTTGCCTGAGCTCAAACTCCCCTCTCGCCTTGCAAACGGGAGGGAGCCCCAGGCTCGAGGATCTTATGACTTCAGGTCTCTCTACCAGGACAGCATGCCAAACACGCTTTATAATCAATCATCAGCTGAGGGTGAACTCTTGAAACCTCTTTAGTTTACATTAAATCTTGAAAGGCAAAGACACATTTTACACAATGTCACAAAAGCATCCGATCATCAAACATCACCAGTCGAAGTATAGCGTGTTCTCTTCACACAACGTACACAAAGCTTCATTCACACACCATTTCAGTTTAGATTGACGTACATTTCCTGAGAGCTGACACCGTTTATATTCCAATTAATGCTTCATTTAAACAAGTCAATAACAGTGTCAAAGTCTCCATCACTCCCAATCAGTAGCCTCTCTGCACGTTTACCAAATGGACCAACAGCAGTACACCTCTCTGTGTTCAGCAGAACATTCACACCCGCAGATACACAGTGCATTATTGAAAACAGCACACAGCATTCCAATTAAACTTCACAATGAGCATTCATGAATGCAGAGGACTTTCATAGAAGAGCCGCCGTGAAGGAGCCACATTCTCAGATATCATGAAATACCCTGAGACAGAGAGAGAGAGAGAGGGAGAGAGAGAGAGAGGGGGGGATGAGGTGAGGTGGTGCGGAGCTGCTCCAGTCACTCAGTCTGTCGGTGGATGAAGGTGTTGGACTTTTTTTCTTTCTTTCCTCCTGGTTTTTTTGTTCTCTTCAGGTGCGCACACACATACGCGCACACACGGGTGCCGAGCGGTGCGCTGCTGCTAACGGGATGAAGATGAAGAGTTACCGGATTAGCGGAGTTTCCTCGCTGCTGATGGCTTTATTCCTGCAGAACACAACACTAGCAGGTACAGCACAGCTCTACAGTCCCCAGCTCAGACACCAGGAGCACAGACATTTAAAAATAGATGTCTAATAGATGTTTAAACATAGGCGTCTCATCTAAAACCAGGCAAAATGTGGACTGTCAGTGAAGATTTAACAGACAAAACGAGCCCTAATGTGATGAGATGGACAGGACTGAATGACTGCATGTGTGATCTGTGGATCTGATGATCTGAGTGTTTGGGCTGTTCTTCTATACGTCTGTTAGATTTTCACTGATATCCTGAATTGAGTCTTGTTTTAGTCAAGACGGCAGTGTTTAGATGTCTGTTTAATTGCTGTTAGTTAACATGTGTCTCCTCACAGCGCTGATCATCACACTGCAGAATTACAGTAACTACATGTAAATATGATGTTGCAGTGAAATGATCATTCGGTCAGCATTATATTACTGAATATTAGTGAATCTTTGCCTGAACATTTTTCCAGTCTGTTCTTCTGATGATAAAGATAGTTTAAAGAGTTATGCATATCATAAAGTACAGTTCAGGGAACTCATATTATGTCAATAGGATGTTCTAAGTAAGATTATTCATTTATTTGTAAAACTGGATGGACGTATAGATAGATAGATAGATAGATAGATAGATAGATAGATAGATAGATAGATAGATAGATAGATAGATAGATAGATAGATAGATAGATAGATAGATAGATAGATAGACATTTATATAGATAAACAGATAGACAGACAGATGGTCAAGCATGATATCAGATAGTCGAGTATGAGTCCTGTATATTGGCTGTACAGTAGACTCTCTTTGCGGTGTGTGTGTGTGTGGGTTCTAGCTTCATTAGCTCAGCTCTGGTTCTGCTGGTCTGGAACTGATCTTCTGTTGCAGCTGTTTCTCATTCTGTCTCTGCGTCTGCATGTTTCTGTGAGCTCATGCATCCCCACACACACACACACACACACACATACACACACACACACACTGATGCTGAGACTGTCCTTGTGTCTGGACCGTCCTGAAGGCAGATGTTCAGATCTCAGCGCAGGCTCTCAGGGGCATCAGGTGTGTGTTCATCAACTCTCAGATCTGCAGAGGAAGAATGAGGGCGCTGGGCTTTTCCACACATTCCCAACACGTCTGAAGCTGTCCGGCGTTCCAGAGCGCTGCGCTAAACACTTTCTGCTGCTCCGTCTGCTGCACAAATGAGTGATGCAGCGCAGCATAACCCTGCTCCTCTACAGCTCTGATCTGCAGCTTCAGTCTGCTGTAATTCACACATTATAAGAACACTGCTTTACACACACTGTGTTGCATCCAGGGGGGCTCCTCAGGGCTCTGTCTGGGCCCGAGTGCTGTTTCCTCTTCACATGCTGCCTCTCGGTTCTGTTATTAACCAGTGCCTGTTCCATTGTTGTGCTGATGACACAGTTCTGTCTGCCCCTCAAATGAAACACAGAGATTCTGGATGAGCTGCATCAGTTTCACCTACAGCAAAACACAACTGATCATCTGTAGACCTCAGGGTCATCTGTTACTCCTAATCTACAGTTTATTGTGCTGTGCTCAGCTGAGAAGCATCGACTGAACAATCCAAGAGTTCTGCTTTACCATGTGCTTTACTCTGTGCTTTACCCTGTGCTTTACTCTGTGCTTTACCCTGTGCTTTACTCTGTGCTTTACTCTGTGCTTTACCCTGTGCTTTACTCTGTGCTTTACTCTGTGCTTTACCCTGTGCTTTACTCTGTGCTTTACTCTGTGCTTTACCCTGTGCTTTACTCTGTGCTTTACTCTGTGCTTTACTCTGTGCTTTACTCTGTGCTGTGTTGTATTCTGTGCTTTACTCTGTGCTGTGTTGTACTCTGTGCTTTACTCTGTGCTGTGTTGTACTCTGTGCTTTACTCTGTGTTGTACTCTGTGGTTTACTCTGTGCTTTACCCTGTGTTGTACTCTGTGCTGTGTTGTACTCTGTGTTTTACCATGTGTTGTACTCTGTGGTTTACTCTGTGCTTTACCCTGTGTTGTACTCTGTGCTGTGTTGTACTCTGTGCTTTACCCTGTGTTGTACTCTGTGGTTTACTCTGTGCTTTACCCTGTGTTGTACTCTGTGCTTTACTCTGTGATGTGTTGTACTCTGTGCTTTAATCTGTGCTGTGTTGTACTCTGTGCTTTACTCTGTGCTTTACTCTGTGCTTTACTCTGTGTTGTACTCTGTGCTTTACCCTGTGCTTTACTATGTGCTTTACTCTGTGCTGTGTTGTACTCTGTGTTGTACTTTGTGCTTTACTCTGTGCTTTACTCTGTGCTTTACTCTGTGCTTTACTCTGTGCTTTACTCTGTGCTTTACCCTGTGCTTTACCCTGTGCTGTGTTGTACTCTGCACTTTACTCTGTGCTTTACTCTGTTTTACTCTGTGATGAAGACTTACTGTCTCTCTCTCTCTCTCTCTCTGTGTGTGTGTGTGTGTGTGTGTCTGTGTGTGTGTGTGTGTGTGTGTGTCAGGCTTTTATGTTGTGTCTTCATTAACGCTCCTGATTGCTGAATCAGGGGTTAAAGTGAAAGGTCAGAGGTTAAAGTGAGGGTCTGAGAGGGGTCAGAGGAAACACACTTTAATAACTCTGCTGACACACTCCTGAAGAACATCCATCTGTGACGCATTCCTGCAGTTCACCAACATTACACGTGTTTATGTGCCTCTGTGTGTTTATGAGTGTGTGTGTGTATGTGTTTGCATGCCTGTGTATGATGCATGTGTGCGTGCACGTTTGTGTGTGTGTGTGCGTGCACGTTGGTGTGGGTGTGTGTGTATGTGTGTGTGTGTGTCTGTGTGTATGAGCGTGTCTACAAAGGTGTGTTTGTGTATTTGTTGTCCTCATATGTGTTTGTGTTTATGTTCACCTGTGTGTGTGTGTGTGTGTATGTGTGTGTGTGTTCATAAAAACACAAGTTAAAACTCTGTCTGGACAGTATTTTTTTCATTCACTCTTGTTTTCATTCACATCTGGCCCCCAGACACACACACACACACACACACACTCCCCTGCAGCTGCTGTTGTGTCTTTGATCTGTAGGTTGTTGTGAAAGTCTTTCCAAATGAGTTCAGCTTTTCTTGTCTGTGTGTGTGTGTGTGTGTGTGTTTGTGTGTGTGTGTGTAGCAATGCTGATTACATTTGTGTGTTTGTGTGTGTGTAGCAATGCTGAGTACATTTGTGTGTGTGTGTGTGTGTGTGTGTGTAGCCATGCTGAGAACGTTAATATGTGTGTGTTTCACAAGCTCCAGGGCTGATATGAAGAGACGTATGACCAGTCCGGACCTGCATGCAGATATTTACACACAAACACACACACATACGAGAGCGGATCTGATTTCTGTCCATCAGTCTGTAAAGTAACAGATAGTGTTGTCTCCAGCAGCCAATCCCATCGATGTGCTGAAGGTTTTGGACCTATCAGAGTCCATGGAGGGTGTGTCTTTGGAGGCGGGGCTCTGCAGCAGTAGGCGGGGTTCAGAGGAGGCCGATCTGGCTTATAAGATTGACAAGAAAATCCAAGTTAGTGTGCCAACCAGCCAGCTCTTCCCAGGTATGAAGCACACACACACTCACACACACACTCACACAAACATACCCAAAGCCTGCAGCTTCACAGATGATCAAATACATGTGTGTCAGGGGTCTGATGCTTGAGAAAATGGGCAGTTTCCGTCTGATTCTGATTGGTTGAGTCACATTCTAAGCTGCAGTAAAGTACTCTACACACACCAGCGGCGGATCACAGTGTGTCTGTGGCTGCTTCTCTGTTGCTCTGCACTCATTTTGTTGTGACTGCCATGTGTTTTGTTCGTGTCATCAGCTGATTTTATATCTGCTGAGTTTATTGAGTGTTATACAGCAGAACTGCTCATGAAGCAGCGCTCTTCAGTCAGCTCATAACAGCTCTGAGAATACCCGAGACCTTCAGCTGCTCTACATTCACCTGTTGGGGGATTTTTGCTTCACTTCACCACAGCGGTCGATAAACTCGCCATCACTTCACTTGAAGGAGACTGTCATGAAGCCTTTATAATCATGATATGACACATGAATGAGACTTCAGCATGCTTATACCAACTGGAGTGTCTTTCGCTCAGTT